AGTCACCTGTAGCTGTAGCTAAGCCTAAGGGGTCCAATCCTTTTGGGGAAGCAAGGCCAAGAGAGGAGGTGTTGGCAGAGAAAGGGAAAGATTGGAAGGAGATTGAAGAGAAGCTGGACAGTGCGAAGATTAAGGAGGTGGTTTCAGGGGCTGATAAGGGAGAGAGAGGGAGGGGCAGTTATGGCCTTGGAAACAGGCGAGCCTCAGCAGAGAGGAGCTGGAGAAAGAATGAGTCCGTTGATGCTGCATCTGCTGAGCCCCAGAGGTTTGTTCAATTAGCCTCTTGATTAGTTGATTATATAAATTTAGTTGCTTGATTGAGTTAAGATGAGGGCTGAATTTGTCAATCGTGTGAGTGAATTGTTTAAGACCTGCTTAACATAGGGAGTAGTGTGAATCCACTGCTATAATTTGCATGCAATTTATGAATAGAATTGTTAGTTTGTGGAAAGTTATATTCTTTACAAAGAGGTAGCATATGTTCAATTTATTCTCTCAAACCTTGGTAGTGTAACTTACCTTTTTGATTGTTGGTTTCTTGTGTGGTGGTTGTACTTTCTTAATTAAACTTAGTTGGAGGAGGGTTTCCATTTTTTTTTTTTTTAGGAGTTATAAAACTAGAGTATGATGACTTCTGATAGTTGTGATGGGAAGGACTACAGCTGGCTCTATTATGAAATCTCTGATTGGCTATCATTTTGTTAAGCTAAAATTAGCTGATAGAACATACATATTATAAGGAAAAGAAAAAGAAAGATTATGGATGAAACATATGAGGTGGTGAACTGCAGTAATTTAAATTTTGTGCAGTTGTAAAGCCACTAACTCTGGTTAGTTTCTCCATCCATGCTTCCTAATTAAAAGCAAACTTCCACTAAATAAATGGCCGGCATATCAGTAATTTTTTGCTACAATACCATTTTCATTTTTTGGGTTTTTCTAACTTGTGCCCTAAGGGCATAGATTAAAGGTGCAATTATTGCACCCTTTTCACATTAATTAGTATTGAAAAATACAAAAGCTATCATTAATTTCATTATTAGTGCTAGGTGAATCATTTTAATTGAATAGTTGCTTAAATAAAGGTTAACTTTTATTTTTTTTAATACTAATTAATATAAAAAAAGGTGCAATAATTACACCCTTAAGGGTATAGACTATAGATTAGAAAAACCCTTTTTTTTGAATCTTTTAGTTTTGACCTTCGGAAGTTTCAAGCCATTTGGGATCTTTAAACATTTAAAACGTTTAGCATTTTAAACAAATTTTGATCTTAAGAATGGTTCAACTTCCTCGTAAAATTGTTGTATTTTGCCTTGTAAAATGTTCTCATATATGTAGCCTGGCTTGATGTTTTTAAATTTTCTTTTTCTCAGCTAGGACAATATAGACTTGCTTGTAAAATAGTCCTAGGTTGTACTTCATCATTGCATGTGCACAGTGCATTGGTATAAGTTTACATGCTAACTCTGAAGTATTTTCTCCCTCTTTTTGGCATTCAGTGACGAGAAACCTGACAATGGTGATGCTGCAGAGAATTGAAGATAGAGATTACCAATTGCAAAGCTTAGGTCGGTGGGAAGAGGAGGCAAAAAGATTAAGATTCTCAAAACTTTTATGTGCTGGATAGTAGAGATGTTTTTTTTTTCTTTTGTTGTGACTCTTATTACTGTCAAAAGCAGTATTTAAACAATTTTGCAGGGAGTGATTACTGATTAGATTTCTTATTTTTGAAATTTTGTTTTATGTGGGTGGAGCATGACTGGATTATTATTGTTTTAACTTAATGAGCAAATAAATCATTAGTTTTAGTATTTTATGTGTGGATGGATTATAAGTTCTTGATTAACAGAGTCTGTGTGCTAAGTTCCTTTTTTTTTGTGAAGCACAGTTATGTTTGTGCTATCAGTGTTCATCGTTTGCATGGACTAAGTTCTGATTGCTTTTTGGTTGGTGACTTGGTGTTGAAATTTCCAATGGATGGTTAGATGATCTGCTTGATGTGTCGCTTCTTGTATGTTTATGTCTGTCACTTGTTACTGCTGGTATTAAAGAAGTTGAGCTTATACCCATTTTAATTGGAGCAAGCCCATTTAGCATAATGTGGGTTGTTAACTTTGTTCTCAATCATGAAAGGTCACAAGTTTGTTAATGTCAATGTCGCAGAAGTGGGTTTGTGTCACAATCAGCACTGACCCATATATCCTTTGTTCCAGATAAAATTAAAAACAATTGTGTTGTCTTTCTAAAGAGTTGACACTGACGAGTACTCTTTCTGAAACATCCATGGAATCCAAGGCCTCTCTCAAAATCAACGAGGACAAAGTATAATTTCCTTTGGAAGAGAGCTGAAATCTGAAAAGTGAAAACCTAATGAAACATCCTCTCTACTGGTTCATGATTATTTCTCGGTTTTTGCTGGATTTTTCCTTTGTGCATCAATGTGATATGTTCATCGAGTAAAGGTCATTATCAGAGTAAATGAAATTAAAAAATGTTGTATAAGCTGGAAAAAAAAAAAGAAAAAAGGCATGGTATGAAAACTGCCAGCGTCAGAGACCCTGCAAAGTCCCTCCTTCTCTATAAATGCTCCTCTGCCTCTGCTTTTACGGCCACCTAACCACCCATTTGATTGCCTGCTGGATTTTGAAATCAAGAGGAATGCTGCCTGCCTGCCCATGAGAATTTTAGTTGAGGCATCCGTGCATTCATTATATCAATACTAATCTATATCTTCCAAGCATAAAAGCTCTTTTGAATATTATCAATATGAATGTGAATCAAAGTTTCAACAGACAAAAATTTTGACTTTCATTCCATCCAATCCAATTTGTAGGACCAATCCAAACTTATGTTTCTTTTAAATTCTTATGTGCACATCTCTGATGTTACAGATAGCAATCTATCAGATGTTACATTAGCCCTTAATAAATGGTTTATGTTGGAGAAACTTGGGTTTAGTTAATTTGTCACCTAACAAAGGCATGCTCAATCAATTCTTGCATTCGGATTCAACATTGACAAAACGAATGTGATCTTTATTTATTTTTTATTTGATTTAGTTGTCTCCATTAAACTTTTGTATAGAATTTAATTATATAATTTTATATAATAAATAAATAAAACAATTAAAATTTTTTTATTTTATATGTAGTTTTTGTTGAGAATTTTCATTTAAATCAAATATATAAAATCATTAACTCAATTTACATAAAAGTTAAAGGAG